TGACTCCTTTTTGCAAGGCACCGCCAGCATTTTTCTTCCCACCAGAGTGAGAGTCCCCATTTATCTACTCACGTGAGTCTTCGAACTGTTGGGTTTACAGGAACTGGGGAGGAAACGAGCTCACCCTGCTAACGCCGCTGAAGTGTCGACCATTTCTGGCCAGCAACTTTCAGTGTCATTAAGCCGCTGCACCACCGCATCCCCCAATGGTCACATTACACCCATACTTGTTCTAGATTGGAATGTACTACTTTCATATCTGTCTCTATATTTATATCTATATCTGTATCTGTATCTATCTATCTCAATCTCTCTATCTATCTCTATCTGCAAGAGAGGAGACAATGCAATCTTAATAACTCTCCTCCACTAAGGCCCAAGTCTGGGCGGGCCAACCATATTTTTTTTACCTGCATGGCTAAAAAAAAAAAAAAATCAGCTTTGGAAAATGGAAAGTTATCCAGAGCCATAAAACAATGCAGCTCCAGCAGTTATAAAGCTAGGATTAGAACAATGTAGAACAAAACTAGCAACCTCATATAGAGGCTGATGGTGCCCCACCCTGCCATATCTCTGAAACTGAGCAACCTAGCTTGAGCGATGGAGCCAGGGTGGGAGTCCTTTCCCAGCCTTCAAATTTGAGCTGGTTATGGTATGTTATCAACATTGTTGGCAGGGGGGACCACAATTCAGAGAGAGATTTTACTCGCCAACAAACCTGTCCTGTTATATTTTAAATGCACGTTTGAGAGGCAGGCGTTTGTTTCGAAACTTAAAACATTCCCATCCCCTTCAGTACAGGAAAGCAATCGCGTGCACGCACCGACCTGGGCGTAAAGCCACTGAGCTCAAAAGAGGCTTTCTTCTGCGTACCCGTGCATGAAAGCATGACATTGCACCGCACCTCTCAAGCTTTCATGGGCAGCAGGAAAAAAAGTGACGCTGGGGCCGTTTTTCCTGAAGTTTCGCACTTCCCTCCCGCAGCCAGCAAACGTGAAGGAAGAGGGACCTTCCCCGCTGTCTCGGAACGAGGGCGGGGCGGGGGGCGAGAGTCCGCCGCCCATCCAAGGCGCTCGGCAGCTGAACGGCGCAGGGCAGCGGCGGGGGCTCCCGACTTACCGCAGACTCCGGAGGCGAGCAGAAGCAGGCTGAAGACCAGGAGCGAAGGGAAGGCAACTTTGCCCATCCTGGTCTCAGCTTGGCCAAACTGCGGAGCGGGAGCGGAGCGGAGCAGCCTGTTTCCGAAGCGTCCGCCCCGAGGG